CCAGCAATTAAACAGCAAAGCCTATGGCATTAGTCATGTAATAGCAGATTCCCAGGAAAGATTTTCTGTTGTTAATCAAAACAAGTCATCTTCAACAGACAATTGATGCACATTTGCTGTAAGATTTTGTTAGAAACAAAATGGCATTGATGTGATGGTACTTGGTATAGAAACCAGAAGGTTTCACTGCCTTCCTGACAGATAGGAGCAGTATAAACATGTGTGCTGAGCAGAGTTGGCACGCTGTTGCTCTGTCCTAGCATTTCCTTCATTTTTAACCACACTGATGGCATCTAATTAATTTCAAAAGCTTTGTTATCCTTGTATCTCTTGTGCCACTACTCCAAAAAGTGTATGTAAATCTGAAAATGTTATTCCAAATTTTGGGGAAAGCTGTCTTAAAACTCAAACCAGGTCACACCAGTAAGCCTTTAGTAATAAGCATTTAGGATTTTTTCTCATCCTCACTTTATCCTTAAATCTCAACATTTATATCAGAAATATCATTCTGTGGTGTTCAAGAAATACCTGAATTCATAATTTTATTTCTCTCTAGCCTATTTTGCCTTCCTCCCTGGAAGACGGTCCAGTCTGGATAGCTGTGAATGAAGATGGTATCAGCATACTGGATTATAAGACAATGGTATGTTGAGGAACACTCTTTCAAAGGAATACCTTACCTAGCACAGAAAGGCATTCCCATGAGTCCAGTGAAAGTCACTAACAGTTTGTCTTTAACTTCAAATGTGAATTATTATTAGAAGTTAGTTTGTAAAAGTCAGAGATGAGGGAAGGCAGTGTCATGTTTGAACACTCCACAGACAAAGGAAAATTACAGCTGCAGCGTAAGGTAGGGCAGCAAACATGTTCATACATCTTGCAAAATCTCAGTGGTGTGTGCTTACTACCACCATCTGGAATATAACAAAATCTGTACTATGAAGTAGTGAGGCCTCGAGCACACCAGAAATGCAATTCTCACTTGAGCTTTCTCTGCCAGCTCTTACCTTTAGAGCCATCTACTGCCCTTCACTGCTGGAGATCTGGTGTTCTTGCAGGAAGTAGCAATATAAACTAATATATTAGTTTAAGGTAGACATTTGGAGTTTTTTACAGAACTATGACTTTTTCAAACTCTCTGTCTGCAGCATTTGAAAGTCTCTTATTCATACTCTTCTGTGCTGACCTTTGGAGGCTGTCGAGATGACTTCATGATTGTAGTCAGTAAAATGAAAGAAAGAAGTTCTGGAAAAAATAGCACTGAAAAACTCCTCTTCACAATGGCAATTCCAAAGGTAATTCCAAATGAAAAGTGAGTTTCTTTCCAGCTGGCATCATCAGGGCTGGGTGTTTTGTACAAGCCCTGGGGGACTGGTACTTGTGGTTGCTGCACTAGCTATATATATTCAACAGATCCTTTGTAAGCTGGAACCTTTCAACAAGAGTCTTATTCCACCTAACTCTTAAAGACAGGGCTTCATTTTAAAACTGAACAATTCCATGGGAGAAAGCCATTTACAAAAGCCATGCAGTCAATAGATCCTAAAAATCAAAGGGCATTCTTACCTCTAATTCTAACCTGCAGTTAATCATTTTCTCTTTTCCCCAGATTGTTGAAGCAACACTTCTGATTGCCAGCTACATTAACTATCGTTCGACTCCTTCCCTGCTGTGTTCCACACAGCCCTCACGAAGCCAAGCACCTGCCAAGAAGCCCTGGGAGACTGAAAATTGGTGCTTTTTTCCTTCTGTGCCCCGAAGCACAAAGGGGCCCACCCTGCTCTAAGGGCTTGTTCCACATGAGCTGATTTTGTTGGTTATATACCACAGATTAATGTAGGCTCTGATTCCTTTTCCATAATAATAGACAAAGGTCCTTAGAGGTAGAGGCAGCGTACTTTCTCTTTAAAAAAAAGTTGATTTGGGGGACTGTGTGGGAGTTTCCTTTCTGTTACACATTCCATCCAAAATACCATTGCTCAGGTCATTTGCCTGCACAGTGCTCCAGTCATTACAGCTGCACTCATTCTTCCATCTCCTACTGTACTGCCTTGCTTTACATGTACATATATTTTCTTTGATCCCTCCCATTTTCAGATTTCAAACAACATAAACTTTTGTGTTATTGCTCAGACATGAAAGAAAGACATTGCTAAGAAGGAAGAGGAATTAAACTCACAAGAATAATTCTGATGCAAGTCAAGGGTGATTTCAGACTTGAAATACTGAGTATAGAATTAGAGTTCAGCAGTACTTAAGAGTATTTTCAACTTTAAATAAAGGTGGAAGCCTAGGGTCCTTTCATGTTGAGTACTGGGAACACCTGGGACCTGGACAGTGTCAGAGAATGCCCTGGCACCTACAGGACCGGTGCCTTTTGGAAACCGACACTGTTCCATGCCATAGATGAACATCAGATTGCTGCTGCAGGGCAGGGCTCCGTGTGTCACATGCTCCACTCTCAGACAAGCACTTTCTAACACTTCTGATAACCACTGTTGTAGATGTGTCTGGAACTGCACATTATCTCAGAAAAAAGAAGACAAGGCAAGCAAATTTTGTACTTTTTCTGTCTTTCAGCAACTAGGACAGATCTTCCCAGACAAGCTCTGCCATTCTGACTTGACAGAAGCTGCTTCTGTTAAACTCCTGCTTCCTTCATGTACTATAAGCAAGGAGGAGGTAGTCAGCAATTGTGTACTTATGTTCTTCTGACTTTCCTAAAGAATGTTGGTAGGTTTGATTTTTTTTTATCTTTTTCAAAGTGACTTCATTATGAGAAAATTATTGAATTTTAAACAAATAAAGGAAAAAGATAAATTCTTCATAAAAAATCTAAATCTACTTAGTTTAAGTTCAGCTATTTTGAGAAGCATTCTAAAAAAGCTAAGGAAGAAAAACTGCACTTTGGAAAGTACCACATTCAACTTCATAATAATTATGCATTCATGGGCAGCTTTCCCAAATTAAAACAGTATTAATCCAACCACTGGACCAAAGTCAGTAATAGCAAACCAGTTATTTGCAAATAAACAAACCAACCATACCAGTGTTTTTACTCCTTAGTTCCTGCCACCCAACCTTGGCACATCCAACTAATGCACATGGGGGAGCCGATAGATCAAGGATTTTTTTAATGCTTATGATGGGTGCAAGGCCACAGACTAAAAGAGAAAAGCAGGGGGCAGACAAAATTTGTTCTAAGCAATCCCTCATCAGCATCTTTGTAATATAAAACAAAAAGAAAACCAAACAACCAAACAAAACAAACCCAACTCCAAACCATCCTCTGGTGAGTTATAGAAACAGTATGGCAGACCTAAGACAGGAAAAGATTCTGTGAACAGTGACCTGATTTGCACATGCTGTAATGTACCCACTTGTTATGAATTTAAAGACCATCCCTTGAAGGTACAGAGAAGGGTAGAAGTTTTCTGAGCCGAAAATAACTTTGAAAAGATAGTTAGTAATTTTTGTTTTCCCTTAGATACTTTCCAGTCTCTCTATGTCCTGATAGTAGCTTGTATTTCCCCTCTCTCTCACAATTATCTTAGTACAGCTGTGTCAGATAGAATACACAGTGTTACTCCTCCTCACTCTATCACCTGTGCCTGACAATTTCTCCTGTATCTGAAGGGCAGTTTGACAATTTGCTTCTGGTATCCCACCAGTAACAAAGCTGCTTCAGAATAGGCTGGAGCTGTCATCAATGCTGGGGACACTCAAGGCATGGAAGTCCCCAGGCTGTATTTCCTCGTGTCCTCAAAGACTTGAGGAGACTTGTACCAGGGCAAACAGGAAGCAGAGATGTGAAATAAACAGCAGCTCTCCTGAAACTCATTATTTTTTGCCACAATTGCACTTTAAATTGAGAAGCATGATACACAAAACTTTCTTTCTTTCTTTCTTACTTCTTAAAAATATTCACCAATACTTGAGTGTTTCAGGGACCACCCCACTCTGATGGATGCACACACCCCTCCTATTTATAGCTTACCTGTCTTCAAACACCCCACCCTGTGTAGATACCAACTTTGTATGATTCTTTGGTAGAGAAAATAATTTTTTATTTTAATCAATGCTTTTGGCAATGACTGTTAATGCTGCATAGAATAAGATGACAAAAGCCTTTGTGTTCCTAACTGCTGTGTGTAAGTAAAAGGCTGTCTGGAAGATACTGTGAGATTTCTGTTTGGTCTTAATAAAATGCAGCTCGTGAATTAATAACCATGAATTAAATGTGTATTATTCTCAGAATGAAATAAACTATTTTAAAAGCCAAAATATTCTTGATGGAAACAAAAATGAACATAGATTGTGTTTGGTATCCAGGCACAAACCATAGCTGGTATAAACCTGCCCTAGACTGATTCCTTGTTTCTCTCTGCTGATTGTCTCTTAGCTTAAGTGGACAACTACACCATGTGCACAGGATGTTTACTCCTTCAAAAGATTGCTGAAGCTATCTTTCAGACTTCTTGCTGTGACACGGCTTCTTGGTAATTTCTTCAGTGCACATTCTGAGGACTTCATAGGACTTTTACAGCATAGTCAGCACTCCCAGCACAGTCTTGAGCCCATGACTCTGTCCACTCTGTTGAGCTATCTTTTCTCTTCTGACACAAAAGGCAGTGGCACATCCCCAAGCTGCTGCCTTTCACTTGGACAACGAGAATACTTCTGTGACATGAGCTAACTAACCTCTGTCTTTCAAACTTTGTAGGACTGTGGAAAAAAAAACACAAATCCCCCTATCTCTACCTTATTGCATGATGGTATGGTGCCAAGTGTTCATTTACAGATTATGTGGACAAGCATGGTACAGCATTGTATGCAAAATAAGCATGAATCCAGGCCCCTGCCAAGTGGGTTTAGCTTTTGACACTTCAGTCACCTCATTAATATTACTAAGGAGTTGTGGAATATAGAGGAGAAAAATACCAGTTAAGTGTTACAGTAACTTTTAGCTTATCAACAAAGAAGAATTTCCAAACCTTGAGTTACTGCAAAGAGCACAGATTAATAAAACTTTATTCACGTTGTCATTACCATCATTTTCAACAACACATGTGCCTCATATTCTGAGAGTAACTCATGAGGCCCTTTAAATGCCACATCTTTTCCATGTCCCATGTCAACAGACCCTGCCCCATTCAGCAATGGGTTCACATTTTCCCTGTGCTCCTTTTGACAGTTAAGCACTTACTGAAACCATTCTTGTTGCCTTTGACATCCTTCAACTGATTCATCGCCAGCTGGGCTTTAGCTTTTCTAACTGCATCTTGAACAGTGTTGCTATATTCCTCCCACATCACCTGTCCCTAATTCCACCCTCTGTACACCTCCCTTTTGTGTTCAAGCATTGCCAGGAACAGCTTGCTCATCCATGCAGGCTTCCTGGTATTTCTGCTTCACTTCCTGCTCATTGGGATGGACAGTTCTTGATCTCAGAAGAAATGATCCTTGGCTATCAATCAGCTTTCTCAGATCCCTCTTCCCTCTAGCGACCCCATCACATGGGACTCCTTCAAGCAGATCCCTGAAGAGGTCAGTCTTCAGATCTCTTTTATGTTTATTCCATTAAACATAACTGAATGCAACAGTTTAATTTTCTGGTTTTGTCCTTCTGAAATTCTCCTGTCTTCAGGAAGTTACTATCTGATCCCACACATCAGCTTTGGTATTTAGAGTGTGATTTTCAAACAAAGGGTTAAATAAAAAACAAAACATGCATACTTAAGGCAGTCCAGCCAAGGTTATTTTCTAATTTTAGCATAATTTTCAGATGCATGAAACAGTAAAAAATGGATGCATTTTCTTGTCTCCCTTTGCCCTATTTCCCCATAATTCTTTTCCGGAGAGGCAAGAAAAAGCTTCTTCTGTCAGAGCCTAAAAATTTCTGCTAATGGGGCAGATTTTCTTGCTTTTCCATGTGTCCCTCTGAGTCCTGCTGAAAGTTTGCTGTCTTTTTTTCAGCTATTTTATTTCACTTGATTGTGGAGCTGTCTTCCTCTGCTCCAGGATCTCTTGACAACTTTTGTACACTTCTATCAAGCAGTCTAGTCGTGGCTTGGAGCTCTAGAAGTACAACAACAGAGAATCAGGCTCTGAACTGAAACGCCGATTAATTTTACCCAAACAGCAAACAGTGGTCAAAGTACAATGATTTTTCAGCAATTCTAACCTGGACCAGCTTAAAACCAGCAAGGAAGTGAAAGTTTCACGGTCCCACAGTCCCTATGATCCTATGACTTTTGAGCTCCCACAACAGCATTACTGTGTGAAGTCCATCAGATGCCTCCTTGCAAGAGTTGCTTGAGAGAACAAAAGGTCAAATCAGTGCAGTGAGGCTCCTGGGCAGAGTGACACAGGAAATTGTATTTTTGAAGGCTGCCATAACTTAGAGAAATCCAGTGAAGGAGACACAATAAAGGTACTAATCATTGCTCCTTCAAAACTAACATACTAACTTGCATGTTAAAATAATTACAGACAGGCACTGCATTTCAAAATGGAAGAGTTCCATACCTCCTATGCTGCTGGAGTCAACTCTACCAGTGCTAAGGTATTTCCATGAAAACAAAGCTGGTCAGAGTTGAATGGTAAAAAAAAAAAAAGAGAAACAATACAGCAATACAGATGCCAGGCAGACATGGAAAGCAACGTATCTAACTAATATCAGGTACTTGAATGCAGCTATCTGGAATTTAGTAGTTGTTGATTTCCAGCAAATCTACTTTTCCCCTTGTTTATATGTGAAATATCTAATTTATATTACTGTTACTAAATATCTAATTTATATTACTGTTACTAAAGATCTTTACAATTGTGGGACTGAGTTAGCAGAAAGTGTAAATGGAACGGACTATTTATACTCCTAAGTATTCAGACTGACTGTATACAGTCACAAACTGTTGGCAGATTACAAAACAGTCACCAGCAGCAGGTGAATTAAGGACAGAGAGGGCTCTACAGCTCAGCAGTCTAAGAAGTGAGGTACCTCTGTACTGCTTACCACCCCTCATGGATAAGGGCACTGTTGTGTTAGGCATGAACACACACAAAGCAAATCCATTCCAAAAATGGGATTATGAACAGTCAGAACATGTTAGCGAGAGAAGAGAGAGGGGAGATGAGGTAATGGCAACACAAACAAGTTATGATACATTAAACAAATTGGTCACTGCTTGTACCATGATCTTTGTCAGCAGGGCAGGCAGGGGACGTCCTTCCAATGCCAAGGAGGATTTATGAGAACTTTTGGTACACAGAGCTAAGGGAAAAATCAACTGCAGCACATTGCCAGAGTTACGGTGGTAACTGAGCACAGGACTGCACAGAAAGCTCTACAAGTCCTCAGCACCCTGTGGGAGCCAAAGACTTTTAGTTCATGCAAACTCCTGGCTGGGTTCAGATTGACACAACTCCCTGCTGTTTGAATGGAGAGCAAATGAAAAAACCCATCCCCACTAAGTAGTTCTGTGAGACTTCAAGTGCCACCCACCCTGACGGCCCAGCCAGAGAAAGGCAACTGTCACCAGCTACTGTAGCAGAAAAAAAATATGCTCAGACAACTGATGCACACACAGAGACCACCATCTGGATCTCTCCACCATTCAGTCAAACTCACCTGAAAGAGTGGCACAACCTCAGACACTCCCTGAGGATCTTCAGGGTCCTGGAGGAGGATACACAGGTAGTAGATAACTTTTTGCTACAAGACAAACAGACAAAAGTCACTGGAATATAAAAGTGCTATCAAACCGCCTGGAGTTAGCACAGGAATAGGATCTGTTTCAACTCACTGGGCTGAAGGCAAATCCTGCCAGGTCACAGTCAAGTCTACAAATTTTTATCAATAGCTTTCACTCAATAAAGAAATAATTTTGCCTATTTTTTCTATTAAGTTTTTAACCTGAAAAGAAGACACCCTAGCTGGAAGGGTAAGGTCTGCTTTTCTACAGGAGCTTTGTAGAAAACCCCGGCAACAGGAAAAACGATTGTTTGTGTTGTCACAGCTTCTCATCTCCATCCTGATTACATATGGAGCTGGACATCAGGATTTGTAAGAACAGCGTAACAGAAAGAACTAAACCCACTAGCTCAATGCCAGTGGCATTATCCAAGGGATGGATTTGGCTTTTTGAGGTTATTTGTTTGGTTTGAGTTCTCCTTTGAAGGTGAGAGATGACAGAATAAGGAGAAAAATCTGAAATAAAGCTCCTGATGCTAGTAAATCTGTGGATGGTGCTGTGTTAAATTGCTCTGTTAAATCATGCTCATGAAAATACACTGGCTGTGAGTGTGCCCAGACACAAGAAGACAGACTTAGTATGATTACCATATGGATGGCTTCATTGATAACCACATCCTTCACTTGCCCCATCTCAATGAAAGTTGTGCTCTCTTTCCCTGAGGCATAGGCTGAAGTCACCTGAATGCCGAGTGAGCCGATGACCAGCAGGGATTCCTGGTCAATCTTCACGAAGTGCAGGTAGATGATCAGGCCGATCAGCGTGATGAAGATGGCAGCAGAGAGCACCAAGCTGTTCTGTAACACAAGCCAAGAAAAGGCAGAGCTCTGGTACTACAATTACTTTAACACAGCTTTAGAGAAAGTAAAATTGCACAGTAAATTGTATATTAAAGCTACAGGTGCAAAGCATTTTTACTTAGGTAGAGTCATTTTATTCACCTGACTGGCTGATATATATGTAGTGAAGTTTAAATCAGTCTTTGCAGTATGCACTAAAAGAAGTGGGAGCTGAAACTAATAATTGCAAGAAAATTCTATTTCCTTCCAAGTTCAATGCAGAAATCTCAATCCAAACAAGCCACTTGTGTCAATGAGAGTGCATTATGCCAAATTCTAAAGATGATGTCACTGACAAAAAAGTGTTGTGAAATGTTTACAGGAACCAAGGGTGGATTTTCACAGTGGAGGAACTCTCCTTCAGGATAAACACTGCCCTGGTGGTTTTCTTACTATGAACTGCCAGTCTAAACTTGTTCAAACCTCAGCCTCTTTTTGCCTTAAATACCAATGCAAAGAAAATCTGCTTTATCCTGTACTTTTTCTAAGGATCAATGTCTTTTGCATGGTGCAATCCTGGGACTGCTGTTACATTTTAACATATAACTGATGACACTATAGTCCCCAGTAAGTCATCTGAAGACCTGGTAATAAATTCTAAAGGTCCAAAACCTACCATCTGTTTCTGGTACAGGTTTTAGAGAACTCCAGGCCATTTACCCACTAATGAGAGTTATAACAAACACTTCCTAAAGAACTGCACAGCCCCACTATTCAAGCTGAGCGCGTACCACCATGTGAGTTAAGAAGCCATGGCTTCAGGAAGTATACAGGACTTCTCCAAAAGTTTGCTATCACAGGGGAAAAAAACAGTCATGAAGTACAAATAGTGAAATCCACAAAGAGAGAGACTTTCAGACACGATTTCCTGGCAAAAGGAATTGCAGTCACTTGCATGTAGGCTGCAGGAGTGTGTGTAAAGGCAAGGAGGAAGGCAGTGGGTGGTAACCCACTGTATGCTTTCATGAAAAATGAAACTCAGACATGAGCCATCTAGTCCAGTCTGACTCCTGACAACTGACTTATAATGCAATCTCTATCTTCATTTCTTAGGAAAGATTACTGAAAAAAAATGGATGCGCAACAGTCAAAGCGTGGGTCACAGTGACCAGCTTCTTTGGTTAAGCTACTGAATTCAGTCTGGACATAACTGATCTGGGTCCAGTTTTTGATAAATCCAAAAGCATTAGTTTAAATATCAGCAAATTTTTAAATCTGTACTGCAAACGTCTTTCCGCCTCAGCTGTGAAAACTGATGACATTCATGGTGCAGTGCTAAGTCGCTCAGAAAAAATCCTTTTGGGGATTAAAAACCATTCACCTTCTTCAATTCCTCCTTAATTTCAGATTCTCACAACTCATCTCTCCAAGTGAGCACGTTTTATTTGGACTCACAAGTATGTGCCAGGCATCACTCAGCACGCAGACATAAATCTACCCTATCTGTCTAAGAGGCTACAAACCAAGAGGCGCCCGAGAAGACACCGGGGCAAGCGGGTGGCAGCCCGCGGCCCTGAGGCTGGCTCAGCTCTCCCTTTGCCAGGACACCCCACCGGCTCGCCCGGAGCGGCGCTGAGCGCCTTCCCACGGGCTGCGGCCGCCCTCCCTGCCCCGGGCGCCGCTAGCCAAGGCTGCCCAGCCCGCGGGACTCCCGCGGGGCCCCGCTGCGACAGCGGACAGGGGCTGAGGGGCGCAGCCGGGCCGGGCCCGAGCCGCGGCGGGGCCGGTACCTCGCAGAGCGCGAAGAGCCCGTAGGCCGCCAGCCAGACGGCGGAGGTGGCGGCGCTGAGCGAGCGCAGCTGCAGGCGGGGGCCGCGCACCGCCAGCTCCCGGCACGACGCGCTGTGCTGGCGGCGCCGCAGCGCGATCGGCACCCCGGAGGCCGAGAGAAAGCGCCGCTCCTCCGCCATGCCGGGCAGGCGGGGCCCAGGCCGCCCGGCCTCCCGCGGGAGGAGCCTGAGCCGACGGCCGGCTCTCGGCTCCGCTCGCTCGCTCGCTGCGGGCCGCCCGGGCCGCAGGGTGGTGCTGCCAGTGCCCGCTTGTTGTACCTCGCCCGGCGTCCGTCCTTAATCCCGATGACATCAGCGCTTTCTGCGGTTTGCACATGTTGACAATTCATTGCTTGCTCCCTCTGTTTATGGAGTATGAGTTTTAAAGGGCACACGGGTTAGTGGTGCTGCACGTGTCTCTTGCCGTGATGAAGAGACGGAGGTTTTCATGGAATCACAGACTGTTAAGGAGTTGGAATGAACCTTAAAGAGAATCTAGTTCTACACCACCCACCTTGGAAAGGGACACCTCACACTAGACCAAGTTGCTCAAGGCCTTATCCAGCCTTGCTTTGAACACTGCCAGGGTTGGGGCATTCACAACCTCCTTGGGCAACCTGGTCCAGTGTCTCAGCACACACAAAGGAAAAAATTTCTCATATCTAACCTAAATTTCCCCTTTTTCCATTACTCATTGTCCTATCACTACAATTCCTGATGAAAAGTCTCTCTTTGGCTTCCCAGAAGGCCCCCTTTAGATACTGGAAAGTTTCTATGCGCTCTCCATGCAACCTCCTCTCCTCGAGAAGGTTGTCTTTCCCCCCTTTGTCCTTACCATCTGCAACTCCATAAATGTATTTTCTCATCTGTACCACACTTAGCTACAAGGTCTTTGGATTTTTTTTCCCAAGGTTTAAAGCAGAGTTTTCTGGTCGTTTGCCATCTAAATACATGGTAAATTGGAGACTTGGCTTTGCATAGAGACTTGATGAGTCTTTGTATTGTGTTCCCTTTAAGGCATTTCAGTTATTACTTCATGTGACTTACATGGCAGTAATACAAAACTACAGCTCTGTGGCTTTCAAACTGCCATTCTGATTTCTTTGGCATTTTTATTTTTTTCCCCTTCTACCACAGTTTTTGAGCGTTAGCTTTAATCGCAGTTGCCATCTTTCTGTGAGCAATTTACTTAATTCATGGTATTGTCAGAGCTCTTGGGTGGATACTATATATATAAAAAAACTGTTAATTTGTTCTCACAGGGGCAGCAAAGGAGTCTTAAGAGACATGAAAAACCAAGGGGCATCAGAGAATCACTACCAAGGTCTTGGCTTTGCCTGGAGGAGTGGCTGACGGCTGCCATCCGTGGGCATTCTTGTGCAGTACGTCCAGGATCTCACTATGACACAAGAGACCAGGTGGACGGATGGGCTGAAGGGGAAAAAAGTAACAGCAGACAATGAACTGCAGAAATGGAGAAAAAAATACTGAAGTTCAAAAGAGGATGAAAGAAGTTCATCAATGAAGTAAAAAAGGACAAAAACCCAATAAATTGAAAACTGGCTTTTTAAAGAGGGAAGAAAGGTTTGAAATGGCAGGTGAGAAGGACTGAAGTAAATAAACATGAGTTATGACAGCTGGTATGAGAGCTTCAGAGGTGGGGACAGGAAGAAAGGGAAAGAAAAATCAGAGTAGGAGGTAGAAGAGGTAAAAGCACTATGAACAGCCAGGTCAGTAAACAGGACAGAACGAAACGTGAGCTCCTGGAGGAGTGTTAACAATAATTCACATTCACAAGGCATGGGGGAGTTACTGACATAGAGACAGGAAGAGAACTTGGAAATCTTAAGAGGAAAAAGCAAAATTGCTTGGATTTTTGTGTGTGTGTCACTGGCAACTCCCTGTTTAACCATTTTTGTGCTCTGTCATGTCATGAACTATAAGCTTGTCTTTCAAGCTTCTACAGAAAGACTGCACATTCGACAGTGGGAGTCATCTTGCCTTGTCACAGAAGGGAAAGATGGGGACTTTAATTTGTTTTTAACTCATTTGTTAATCATCCTTCAAATGTGCCTCGAATAAGAACAGCTGGAGACCTCTGAGAATCGTCTCAAGCCACGATGTGCTGGACAGGTGGTCCTTCAGTGCTTTATCAAGGCCATCAGGTGATGAGCGTCACCCGTTTTTCTCCAGCGAAGCCAGGGAGCAGCGCTCCCGCACGGAGGCTCCCGAGCTCGCCGTAGCCAGCCAGAGAGCGCGGCTGAGGTGCTGCTCGTCTCCTGTGTCCCGGCGGGGCGGGTGCGACAGCGGCTGCCCTCGGCCTGCGGGGGTGCGGCGGCCCCGGGGGGCCCGGCAGCGATGCCGCACCGGCGGGAGCCCGAGGCGGCCGCAGTGGAAAAACCCCGGGCGGCCGTGAGGGGAGCGGGGCGGGGCCGCGCGCGGGGGGTGGGGGGCGGGACACACCTCCGTGCGCGCGCGCTGCCGTTGGCCGGGGGCGCGGGGGCGCGAGGGGCGGGGCGGCGGCGCGCGGGGGGCGGGGCGGAGCGCTGAAGAGAGCGGGGCGCGGGCGGCGCGCGGCAGCAGCAGCAGCATCAGCATCGCCCCGCCATGGCCCTGCGCGAGCCCCTCGCCCGCCTGCTCCGCGCCCGGCCCCTCAGCCGGCCCCTCACCGCGCTCCCGCCGCGCCGCCGGGCGCACTCCGTGGCGCTGGTGGGAGCCCCGCTCTCCAGGGGCCAGGTGGGCATCTCGGGGGACGCCGGGTGCCGCGGTCGCCCTGCTCCCCCTCCCCGGCGGGGCTTGCGCACCTGGCTGCCGGCAGCGCTGTCTGACGCGTTCTTCTCTCTTTGTCTCGCAGAAACGGGGAGGAGTGGACCACGGCCCCGCTACCCTCCGCGCCGCGGGGCTGGTGGAGCGGCTGGCCGGGCTCGGTGAGCACTGCGCGGCGGGCGGGGGTGGCTGCGGGGCTGCCCGCATCGCCCCCTCGCCTCTCGGGGCAGCGTGACTCAGCCGCTCCCTGCGGCGGGGGCAGACGGCTCCTGCCTGCCGGGACCCACGGAGCGCACCGGCGATGTCCGCAGCCGTGCGGAGGTGCCGGCGGGGACAGGCTCGCCGCATTCCGCACGGGAGGAGCCGCACGGGGCCCTGCGGGAGTCCCGGAACAAAGAGCGGCCGGTGGTCCCGGCTGCCCGCAACAGCGGGACGCGCAGCGAGCGCCGCACCGGCACACGGAGCGTGGGCTGCTCCCGTGCTGAGCCGGGGAAGCGAGAGGCTCTTTGCAGCGCTGTGTGCGCCTATGGCATCCCGACAAGTAACTGTGATCCTCGACGTATCACACGCTGTGCGCTTTGCCTTTTCTTTTTTATTCCCTTCTGCGTTTGTTACCAGGTTGTTCCTGAAAGATTCGTATGCTTCTAGGTGATGAAATTCAGAATTTTCTGGAGAAGTCCTCAGTTTTATGTATGAGGTCTTGTGTGAAGTCTTTGAAAACGCTTGCAAATACCACCCTGTGAACTGGCCGTTTCTGGTCTTTTTGTGCAAGCAAATCCATGCACTTAATTGTGATTCAGCTTCTCACATCTATTACTTCTGCAAGCTGAGACCTGCAGAAAGCTGTACCACAGTTATTAGAAACAGGACACAAGGGATAGAAACTTGTAAAGCTTAACTGTGTCTTGGAGAATCTTTAATCTAAAGAGTGTTACTGAAAATGGTGTGATGAGGATGGATTGCGGGGATGGACCACAGAAAGAACCAATATCTGCTCCCTGGGTGGTTAGTGTCAGTGGGGATTAGATGTATAGAGAGATAATTGCCTAGTAACCCTCCAGCAATTTTATTCTGAATTTAAGAACTCTTCAAAACAGAAACAATTGTTCTCTGCAGCCCTGTAGGCATATCCTGCATATCTTATGATTCACAAGCTGAAAAGTCCCAGTTGGCAGCCAAATGAGTAGATATTCTTTTTCTCACTTGTTTTGAGCAAAGTACAGATACTTGCTGTCGTTGGCAGTACTTAAATTCTAGTGAGCAAGCGCTATAACCTCAGCAAATGTGCCAGAGGACATCTAAAAGAGCTTTGTACTGGAATAGTTACTGAGCCTAAAGTTTATTTGAAACTTGCAAATTGCTAGGCTTGAAAGGAGGATGCTCTTCTAAATAAGCCTGTAGGCAGCAGATTATTTTGTATCAGTGACAGAATTTTATACTGTAAGGCTTGGAGTTCTCTTTCAAGTGGTTCAGAGCTAATGTTTCCACTTTGTAAGAATTCTTTGATGAAAACTCCAAACCCACAAAACCCAACAAAATTTAAAACTAGAAGAGGAAGCCCTCTCGTTTGCCTGACACAAGCTCACTTCAATAGGAGTTTGAAGAAGGTAGAAAGGGAAATTTGAGCCCTTTCTGGATTCCAGCATCAAAATGTTGGGGGGGTAGAAATGAAGCCAGGTAAACTAATTTAAACAAATACTTTCACTGCTTAATTTCTTATGAGTTGTTTACTCATCAGTCAGTTATGCACATGGAGATACCTTCTTGCTGTTCCCTTACAGTTTTTAGAGGCTCTTCCTTCTGCAGTTGCAGTTTCCTATCGCTGGTGTGTTCTTCCATGGGGTGGGGTTGGTTTGTTTTTTAAGGTGGTGTTGATGCCTATTGCTGCCTAAATCTCTGCAGCCCTTTTAAGAACAGGTTCTGCTGTGAGAGCCCATGCTGCAACAATGACAGTCACCAGCACGCCCAGAGGAGGGGTTTGCAGTGCAAGGACAACCTGCTTGAGGGGAGGGTGCTGGATGGAGGAGGATGCTGCCATGTAGCCTTTTGCACCGTACACATTTGTTGTTCATGGAAACTTAACAAATTATTGTTTTTATATGTGGGCTGCTTGTTTTTCTTCTCTGGGATGCCAGGATAGCTTTGGCTGCAGTACTGTTGTAATAGTGCCATTGTTTGGAGTCCTGTGGTATGCTGAACTGGCAGTAAAATTTAGCTGCTTTCTCTGCCTTTCTAACACTAGGAATCTTCTGCTCATACTTTTAAGAAGACCACAGTATGAATGGAGCCATAGTATGAGTCTAATTATTAATTTGGACAGTCTATTTATCTGTTTTATTATAGGAGTTAATGATTTTGAGGGATTCTTGATTGTTTTCCAGGAACAGGCAAATTGTA